AAATCTACTCATTCATGAACCCATTATCTCATGCATCCTTTCTATCATTCATCTCATTCGCTATCTATATATCCATAGATATTTTTTAAAGGTAAAATTGACATAGTTTACAAGGTTTATGTTCTCTGTTCCAGTTATCTGTAATAGATCCAACTAGGAGAAGTATATCAGAAGCTAAACATGGTATTGAACGAGGAGACTGCCAATTCGCAATAGAACAATTGAACATTGCAATAGAGGTATGRCACTTCATGCTTCTCTTATTAAGGCTTCCAGTTGAAGCTACCTGTACCTACTTAACTTCCCTGTGGTTTCAAATACTTGCTCTAAATGTACTTTGTAGTTGAAATTGCTCGGACATTRATATTTGATAATTACACTATGTATTACATAATATGAAAGAATTGTTTATAATAAATGGTATTGCAGTATTATGGTTCTAATTAATTTTTTCAGGTTTCCCCTTGGGATCCAGAATTAAGATTAATGAGAGCAGATTGTTATGAGAGAATGGGTGATTATGTAAAGGCAATATCAGATATAAAGTGAGTATTATTATCTCATATTGACAGTGATGAATGAACACATATTGAATAACCTGATATGTTTAGGCCCACAACAAAACTTATCAATGATAACACAGAGGGTTATYTGAAAATGAGCCAGTTACACTATGAAATGGGAGAACTAGAAGATGCTTTAAGGTACCTTTGATTGCTTTTAATATCATCAATGGTTTGGTTATTCTAATGTTTTCACATTCCTTTGAATCATAGAGAAGTCAGAGAGTGTCTCAAGCTAGACCAAGATCACAAGAAATGTCATCCATTTTATAAGGTACCTTGTGACTCTATACCAACATTTTTTTGATACTTGTACATTAATTGTACAACATCAATTCAAGTTCTTTGGTCCCATATTGAGTCTAAAATTGAGTAAAAGCACCAATGAAATAGTTGTATTTCCWTTGATCAGTTAGTAGTGCTAAGTGTTGCATATATATAATAGCTATATCAAGTCTATTTGCTTTTCTTTATAGAAAATGAAGAAATTAAATAAACTTCTTGGAGCAGCTCAAGACCTTATCAATCAACAAGAGTAAGTTACCCTACGTCACATTACCCCACTTTACCCTATGTTACCCTATAGTAATCTACGTTACTCAACACTACTCTACGTTACCCTACATTATACAACTTTTCAGTAAAATCAGACGTTTTGATTGSTTGGCTTTCGTGTGTTATCAAAGTATAGATACACGGATTACRTCAAAACTAATTGTTTGTTGTATAAAACAGWTAGATCTCATTTTTCCGTGCGTGTGTACTCTAATAGATACACAGATGACGTCAAAATGTAGTGAGAAYAACAGTCACGCACTCGACTGCGTCTCGTGCGTACTTTTTTGTTCTCACTACATTTTGACGTCATCTGTGTATCTATTAGAGTACACACGCACGGAAAAATGAGATCTATTTGTTAATTACACTACACAACCATATGTTACCCTATGTTACCGTACTACAAAATGTACTACAAAATTCTGTTGTTACTAATGTTGATTTGAAATGTCATCCTTATTTTTCAGTTATTATGAAGCTATGGAGAAGTTAAAGAAATCTCTTAAGCAAGAGTCTCGAATACCTACCATAGTTGGAAAAATCAGACGACAAATGTGTCACTGTCATGTTATGGTAAGAAAAATCAAAATTATGTCATTTCTTTTGGTTATGGCACCGAGCCATGTGGGATAGACTAAGAAATGTTTATAGGAGCAAGCGCAATCGTTTAATAATAAGCTTTGGACATCTGAAGAGAATGAATGGTGAAGACGGCCAACGTGCCTTTGTAATACTCCGATTTCGAGTTCAGGTTTGCTCTGTGTTAGCCTCAAAACCAAGCAATATATTCTTTTGTTTCATTGACAGCCCGAGAAAACGCATGGAATTTGAAAAGAAAGACAATGGAATTGATTTGAAATCTCACACTTTTATTCAGCACAATTAGGAATATTTTGCGCGCAAATGAGGCTAACACAGAGCGTTGGAGAATTCGAAACTGGATTATTAGGATGTGATCTCGCTTGGGGCCAACTTGTGATCAGTTTCAATTTCTCATTTTTTCTGTTCTCACATTTCAATATTTCTGTTACAATACAATTGTTAATCTTTATGTTTTATTAAAATCAGCTTGAGGCACCGGCAGAAGCTATTCAAGAGTGTAATAAAGCTCTTGAACTTGACGAGAACGACGTTGATGCCCTCTGTGATCGAGCAGAAGCACACATTTTAGAAGAGAATTACAACGAAGCTATTAAAGATTATCAAAAAGCTAAAAGTATAAATGAACATTTACACAAAGTAAGTACTTGTGCAATGGGTATACTCTCAATGTTATGACCTGCCTATCTTTATTACTTTGSTTTCAGCCAAACCTTTTTGTATTCACTGCGTACTCACTTGCTCTTCTGTCATTCAAGGTTCAAGAAGGTTTAGAGAGAGCACAAAAACTTCTGAAACAATCCAAAAAGAGAGATTATTATAAAATACTTGGAGTTAAAAGGTGAGTTTTCCAAGTCTGTCCCAATAATGTTTTAAAAATTCCCCTACTGCCTGCTTAAAACTCACGTATATACTCTATTTTTTAACAGACATGCAAGCAAGCGAGAAATAACTAAAGCATATCGAAAACTTGCCGTAAAGTGGCATCCTGATCAATTTAAAGATGAAAAAGAAAAGAAAAAAGCTGAAATAAAATTCATAGATATCGCTGCTGCCAAAGAGGTTCTTACTGATCCAGGTAGGTGCTACTAGTTTTGTTGCGCGCGTCCTTCTCTTACAGTGGCCTGCCATTTGGAGCAGGTTTTTTTGAAAGAGCATAGTATTGATGATTATGTTATTTTCTACRCTTGACATACATTATATGAACACGAAATTTGAAGGATGAAAAATACATTTAGGATGTGAAATATTATTTCTTGTATCAGAGGACACATGATTTTTTTTTCAACAGAAAAACGAGCTAAATTCGATCAAGGCGAAGATCCACTAGATCCTGACCAACAAGGTGGTGGCGGAGGATGGCCGTTCCAGGGAGGAGGATTTCCATTCGGAAATGGAGGAAACGGATTTCAGTTCAAATTTCACTTCAATTAAGCGTCTACTTCCTTTCTTACATCTCATCTTTTTCAAACTACCTTGCTTCTGAAATAATTAATATTTCTCCCAGAGAAAATTGTTGGACTTTACCGTAATGTTTGTTCATATTTTTCACATATCTGGCATCAAGAGAACRCATGAACATTTCTAACMCTTTTTTCTCGTGTAAAATAGTCCTGTTTTATGGCTGATTTACTTTGCAAAACGTTTGTCGGCACAAATGTCTCGTTTTATATAGCTACAATTTAAAGAAGGCTGTTCGGGGAAAACTGCCGGAATGCACTAATTCTATTAAAAAAATTGAATATCCACTCTGACTTTCGGTCTTGCAATTGCCGTTCCTCACTTTTTTGAAATAGCTATATTTTGCGTTGTTTCATGTAGTATGCATTTTGTAGACAAACGTTGTGCATAATAAATCATGAGTAAGGAGAGCAAATGTCCTCTGAAATATTTATTTATTAGGCACTTGATTTTTTTCAATGGTTCAAATAATTCGGGTTTGTTATCAGTTATCCGAAGTTTACATTTTTAGCGGTATCCGCAGTAGTCTTTACCTMGTAAATGGTCTTATTATCCTATGTGGACGTTCTCGGGGAGAGGCGAGGGAAGGTGGTGCCCTCCCCAACGCCCATTATGCAGATGTCCTTGTGTCGAAGCGTGCATAGCTCTAATCTTCATTCCGAGAAGAAATTCAAAAAATTGACCATCCCATCTGTTTTCATCTGTAGGGATAATGACACAATGCAATAAAATATAATTTTATTATGTGCGTACCCTGCCTATAACGCACACTGCACCGCTTTAAAATGTTGCAGACAAAAATTTGAAACGATGCGACTTTTTCYYGACATCGAAAAATGAATGCAACGCCTTGGCGATAGCCAGGCTAGTTAAAAACATTGCACTATTGTATAGTATGAAATCCAGTGAAATATTCTATAAATTTCTATTTTAAAAGAAATAAAACTTTTGAAACTTGGAAATGTTTTCAATGAAAAATTTATACAGTCTATGTACTTTTGACGTACGAACAGTTGTCATGACACAACATTTCTTCGCCATTGGTACGGAGTTAGGGAGTTGAACTGCCACGGTAGCGACAGTGCGTGGAGTTTAAAAGTTCTGAGTGGGTGGGAGTTGTGTCGTGTAGATCATGGTCGTGATTAAAAAGAAAAACACAGAATTGATGTAAAAATTGAAATACATTAGTCTCCCGTACAAATATCAAGTGTAAGTCGGTGTCACTAGCGGAATCGTTCATTTACGCTCTCAGTTTTTCATGACAGTGCGAAGGTATTTATTTTACACTGCTCTTACAAGTCAATTCGCCATACAGTTGTATTCTGTCAAAACTCTCATCCCAATGGACCATAAAGACTGTCTTTTTATTATCCATGTTCCCTCCAACAAATAGCAAACAAAAGTTCGTGTGCGGATGACACTGAGGAATAGCCTTGTGGCGCATGGCAACTCGATCGTACGTCACCCGGGCGCATTCAAAAAATATCATTTTTTGCCCGAAAATACCTCGTAATTTTCACAGTGTACTTGCGATATTGCCTATCTCCAGTTATGTACTTCTGGTATTTCAGCAAAGGTATTGATACAAAATATATAAACATCTCATTTTTAATGCTTTTTCCTATTTTCTCAGTTTACAAAGCATGTATATAATAACACTACTGATAGAGATTTAGTTTTGCAGCGCTTGTAGTGCTGTAGCACCACATGAAAGCCATAGAAAACTGTATAAATACTAAAATACATGTCTTAACAGGTGTTAATTTAATATATAGCGTCTTACTTTATCAAAAGCGAACAAATATAATTTTATTTTTATTTTTGTCGATTTTACGGAATATTCCCTATCTCTTCACGAGACAAAGTTTGTTTTGCGTTGAAACTGGAAACTGTCAGCTAAAGATGATGCGTTTCGAGGTCACTGTCGTCAAAGTCTGAAAGGTCGTCAATAGAAAACGCTTCCACTGCTGAAGTACTTTGTTTTGGGACTTCTCTCCGAGGGCTTGGTTGGGGTTTTGAACGAGGCGCAGGTACTGGTGTTGTTTCTAGTATATAAGAAATACATTTTTTAGCCTTAATTCATTCAGGGTTGTAGTCATATACAGATAGACTGAGTATAATGGAAAATGAATAAGGTATATGCTGCGAAAGAAAATGAATTACAATCGATACATGGAATTATTTCAAAACTCACCAGTTCGAGGTCCTGTGCTATTCATCTCAGCGCTGAGTACAAAAACAAACAACAAATGAATGAATGGCTTTCGCCCTAACACTGGATGGGATTAATTTTTTGGAGTGACTGTATGTATGACTGAATAATAATGAGATGTCACGTTATCTAGGAACGTACCGTGTTATTCGAGTGGGTTTAGTCTTTTCGTCGATTGATGATGATAACGAGAAGTCGCTGTCGTCGTCAAAATCATCGGCCTATAAATTCAACAAGAGCGAAAAMATAATCAAATATCCATGTATCGAATGTGAGAAGTGAAAGAAACAAATGAAAATAGGATGAAAACGCGATAGAAGGGATGAGAACGTACCACATGTTTTCCAGGCATTGCCACTCCTCCAACAGGTTTCTTTCCAACACCATTGGTACCTAGACTCCTCTCTAATGAATTCGCCATGTTACGAATCTATGAAGGAGGAGAAATATTGGAAAATGAACGAGCTTGCATTTACCGTTAACGCTACGAAAGTCCGCTTTGTTCAGTCATTTTTTGCGACACTTTTTCAAAATATGACTGATATGAAGCRAAGGRAAATTCAACTTACATTTTCTTTTCCACGTTGAGGATACGATCTTCCTGCTGTCACMGGCTGCAAAATTACAATTTACAATTAAGTTTATACAAACCGATTTTCTTTATTAATATTCATTTGTTATATATTCAGACCATTCTACTGCTTCATTAAACCTTCTTAACGTGCAGAAGAATCAACTGAGTTTATACAAAGTGTGAGAATAAATAGTTGATCATTCAATAATTTACCTGTATTTCTTCAGGATCAGAATCAACCTCCTGTGTAGGGATTCTTACMGATACTTTAGGGTTGGCGGGAGTGGAGCGTGGTTGAAGACGAGGAGGAGCTGAAGTTGGGGAAATTCTACAACATAAACAAACAATAAATCATACAAAAAAWCACTACAGCAAAAGACATTTCGTTTTTTTTTATATATATGTGATTAAAAGCTTGCAGTTGGTCATTCGTCGTGTGATTTACATATGTCGTGTCACACATTATTATTACGGTACAGTCTTCTTACCCGCCCGTCGAATCCCATTCAGAGACCTCTTCTTCTGAATCGCTATAGTCGTCTTCGTCTTCTGACTCGCTTAGCGTTCTTTCAGTTACTGATGTACCGCTAAACGTCTGGTCTCCTGTGGTCATCATATCTTGGGACCTGAATGCACAAACACAACACTCAAACTTGYATCAATCTGATTCTAATGGTTTAAATGATACATAATTACTGTTTAATTAATACAAATGTCTGTTCACTATGTTAGGCGCCTTACCCTGTAGATGAGAGAGTCGCAGAACTTCTCGTAGAGCCTTTCAATGATTGTTGTTGTTGAAGTGAGGTTGATGCTCTAACTGCTGTTGCAGCAGCGCGCATTGTTGGTGGTTTGTTACGAGGTGCAGGAGACTTGCTACTTTGCCGAGGTTCTGATGGAAAACAGGTAACAATGTCATCCTTACAAATGACTTTATCAGACATAAATTCATAGCATTTATCATGATGGCTGTCAATCTACAATAAATGTTGCAATCATACCCAGTTCTTCTTCACTTTTTCCAGCATTTCTTTTGTAATATTTCTTTGCTATGCTATCAGCTTCTTGTGCTACACTGTAATAAGTAAAGATACTAAGTAACATCCAGCCTCATTGGCAGACTACAATATACTGAACTGCTGTGAGTCCCTAAAGGTTTAACTTACCGCTTACGTGTTTCATCAAAGTTTCTTATTTTCTAAATGTACAAAAATCGATAATATAAATTAATACACGTATTGATATGCAYCCATTCATTGCATTAGAAAAGAAACCAGAGCTTTAGTTCAATGAGTCTCATTATTATTATTAGCGTCCATTACCTTAGAGTGCGTCTTTCTTTCCAGTACAAGAGCGTCCATAACTGCTTCTAGCTTCTGTGATGATAAGCGACCAGCACTCTGTAGCACACACATACCATTAATCCAGTTACAATATAAGCACCATATTCCATTGAATTGTTAATGTTATCAATAGCTAATATTATAATAATTATGATAATCATTACAGCTGCCATTGTGCTTGAAGGTGATTTATCATGTGACTAATGGATCCTGATCGTTACAATATTATAACCAGATATTATTTAAGTTTGCCAGTACAGCTTCCTCTACCACCCTCTGTATTATCAGATTTGCATCATTTACAATATCAATATCATAAGATAACTGAACAATTACATACCGGCTGAACTCCATGTTTAATAAATCTCTGTTCTATTTCTTGCTCTAATTCTTGCCGGGCATCCATCACGGAATCATATGAATGATCATAGTGAGCTATGTTGAAAATAAATTAAAACGGTTTAATGATTCTCTCTGGTAATGGTATGGATATTTACAGGATAATATATCCAATTACTAACTTGTAATCTCTGGCCGTTGYGGGAGTGGATGGTATTCTCCACGCTGTAGTGTTTCAGTCCCCTGTAATATGAATTATACAATAAATACATCATACAATCATACTTCACAAGTAATGTCTTGACACAAAGTGAGAAATCTAGAAATAATTCTTGTCTTACTTACCCACTCTGATGATGACAAACCCCTGAAATAAAATATAAAATTATCAATAATAAGAACTACAGTGCATGAAGGACAAGACAAAACATTAGTTCTGTGAACTACATCAGTTCTATTGATAATATGTCTTGCATGTTGGTTACTTACGATGTTATATCTTTACTGTCCAATGTACTTTCTAAGCTCTCTTTCATAGCATCATTCACCTGTTCTCTGTAAAATATATTTAAAGAGGTTGTTTAAAAACTATTACATGCTACCAATAACTGTGTTATAATTATATTCTGGCTTACATTTCCTCTAGTTCAGAACCACTTTCATCAGAGTCTGAAATGAGCATAAAGATGAACTGGTTATGGATAATGAAAATTATTTCAAATCTGATATGAGCAAACATACCCTCTCTTCCATCCCATGAACTTGATAAAGTCCCAACTATATTTGTACATAAAGAAAACGATCAGCAATGATATGAAGTGTGAACTTATATAAAGCATATTGTTACATTTCTTTTGATTACAACACATCCTGGCATTAAATTTCCTGGATAAAACATCATATTAATCATTTCAAACATACCTGCTTGGTTAGACTTCATCACATAGAATGACAACCCTTTATACTTCCATCCTGGAAGCTCTTTGCTTTTATACACGCATGAGCGTAACACAGGCAGTGACCCTCCATCAAGTACATGTAACTGTAAGGCCCCAAGAACAGGGCTCTCTGATGCATAGAACATGTAGTCCAGACGGTATTCATTACTGGGAGGCTTAGAGCTACCAGTAATACATTGTCTCCAGTATGGTGAACCACTAGCTGAATGGACATATATTGGCATACTAAATGGACCAACTGGCTTGATATAGGCATTGAAAAAGAACTTGTCCACCCATTCACTAGATCCTTCGGCACGCTGTCTCCATAGACGGTATTGACTTCGATTTATATTGGCAGCAACATACAGAGTCAGAGAATCTGTTGAAAAGTACAATCCATTAAAGAGAAGGAAGAGTATCAAAACAGTACATGAGCCACACTTAATGAAGATCAATCTAACAACTAGACATTGTTTTAAGATGGGCAAACAAAAAAGAACATTCATTATATCAATTACCTGGGGAATCTTTGAAATCTGGGGTCTTAACCCTGTCTCTTTCAAGGGACTCTAATGAGGGATAACGAGAAGAAGTGACAAAATGTTATCAAATTAATATAATTTTCTGACAGCATCAAAAAGAGTGTAGATGGTCAAAAGAGAGCAATATGAGTATGTGATTGKCAAAAAAATTAATACCTTCTGAAAAAGTGACTTCCCTCTTCAGTACTGGAGGAGAATCTAAAACARTAAATTTAAGTCAGAAAGAATATTTTCATTGAATGTCGTGCATTTGGTATTGATAATAGTATAATTATGGAAACATCATTGTCATACCAAATACTGGCTGTTGCTTTACTGCTTGTTGGTATTGTTCAGCAACAATCTGTTGATAAACATATCAATTAGACATAAAACAACAATATTTGGATTTTTACTATTTCTTCTTTACCTTCTGCTCTTCAACTGCTTTTTCTCTATCCTGAAGGAAAGAAATACCACTAAATGAGATGCACACTTTTGRTTTTTGTACACTAAATGTACACTCTGACATGGGGTGATGTCATYAWGTAAATAGCTAACAGTAACCTGTATCATCTTCTTCAACTGCTCTCGTTGTACATCATCATTCTTCATTCTGTCCTCATACTGGGAAAGTAGTTCATGGAGCTGTAAGTCAATACATCCCAGTTAGCAAATACATATTGTATAGTGATCATTAATCTTCATTTCATTTGACATACCTTGTTCATCTCATTTTTATGGTCAGTTTTCATTTTTTCTTCTTTTGTCTTCCACTTCTGATTRAGTCTTTTCATTTCRTTCTGTCTCTCTTCATCACTTTGCTTTTTCAGTTGATCAAACTAACAGCAATATCAAAAACAAAATAATCAATAATATTACCAACATCACGATTGTGCTTTACTGACAATAATAATGATCTAGTTTTATTRGTCATTTCAGACTGTTTGCTGTATATTACTACATTGAGTAATAATTTAATTTACTATATTTGTTTAATGCATACCTGTTCTCTCATCATATGCGCTATTTCATCTTTGCTTGGACCTGACGGACCACCATCAGGCTCATCCTCATCCTATAATATATATGAAGTTTTTTTAACTATTGATAATCATTTACTGAGTACATTTAATGCTTTTATCGAATCATATACTGATAATCATAACGTCAACTTAACTACGGAGTATAAGAACATGAGATTTAAAATAATAGGTAATTATTACCTTGATTGAGCCAATCATAGAAGGCCTTGTTTCTACAAAAGAATGTAAATTACAGATGAAACTAATTCAGTGAAATAAGAAAGAAATGAGATAAAACTAAAAACATTGAACTTACTCATGTCRCTCTTTAAGTCTGATATTGCCTAAAAACAGCCAAACATAAGGAAGATTAGGAAAGATATAGAAATAACATGAAAATAATAATTTCATATGAAATCTCACTCCTAATAAATAAATATACAAAGTGCTTGAAAATAGTTTACCTGAGAAAATGTCTGCTTTTCTTCTTGACTCTGAATCT